GTGCCATTTGTTTATATTGTTTATAAATTCTCATGCTGCGTAATTCAATGAGGGAGATAGATAAGGATACGTCGAACGGGAAAAAAATCTACAATTACTTATATCGAGGGTGAGGGATGTACCGCGAAAGCGCAAAGCAGCCGAACATCGGCGCTGATATACGAGCGGCGGAAGCAAGGGTGCAAAGCTACCGAACATCGGTGTTGATGTACATTGCATTCCTTCCGAGAAAAAACATGCGAGATGATTCTAAGGTGTTTATATTGTTTATCAACCGGGCATGTAATACAATATCGCTTATACTTTCGATAAACATATGGGACCGCGCATACTTTTCTTTTTACGAGGTGTTTACGGCGATATGGCGATAATGCCACATCTCTATTATACGATCTCGTACCGAGATCTCGCTGCCTTGTCACAAAGAGTTTGGCAGTGCGCGAATCAAGAAGTCAAAAGTGCAGAATCAAAAGTAAAGAATCAGTCGTCAAAAGTAAAGAATCAGTCGTCAAAAGTGAAGAAGAAGTGAATTTTTTTTCATTATTCTTGTGTATTTTATAAAAATGGCTGAAGAAAATATTATTATAATTAATGATGACGATGATGATGTTATGATCATCGATGATGACGATGTGATGATCATCGAAAATAATAATGTGAGGATCATCGAAAATAATAATAATGTAATGAATGTTGACGAAGATGACGAAGATGACGCTGATATCGAAATAGAACCCTTGGCGGACAGCGATTACGAGAGTGTCAATAGTGACGATAGTGATGAATTATTCCAAAAGAAACAGCGAAATTTAGACTTACCAGAAATATTGACATTGAATACGATACAATAAAGATATGTTGCATATCGTTCTATTATGTGGAACGATACAATAAAGATATGTTGCATATCGTTCTATTATGTGGAATGTGGACTGAAATATTGTGCGGAATGCTTCCTGGAACTATCGTTTTTATTTCTAGAAGCTAGTTCTGTTCGGGAACATCGCTGCACAAATTATCAACATTTAACCATATATCCTGCAAAGAGTGCAGGAAATCATTGAATCAAATATTACCGTGCGACATGTGCCCCATGTGCACAAATTAAAACATTGTAAGTACTATTTTTTTAAATCTTAACTCTCTCTAACTACGCTTGTATTAATTCAATATCTTTTTTCTGTTACAGGAGCCGCCTCCCCCTGAACCGGCGCATCCCCCCAAATTAATTTTACATATTTTTTATAATTATATTTTATTATATCATTACATTTTATATTTTTATATTTTTATATTTTACATTTTATTTCAATTTTAATTTTAAATACACATACACACACACATAAATATGTATAATATACACACACACATTTTAAAATAAATTTTATATATATTTTACTTTAAAAAAAAATCTAATTATTTTGCATGCCTCTCCTTGCGTTCCCATCCCTGCGCTAGTTATAAGTATCGTTATCGATAATAAGTATCGTCTCCCATGCGTTAATCTAAGTCTCGCGCTAGTTATAAGTCTCTCTCTCGCGCTAGTTGTAAGCCTCGTTCGACATCATCGTTGCGCTAATTGTAAGTCTCGCGCCATCGCTCCTTCTCCCTCGCACGCGTTGTTCTCGCGTCATCGCTCCCTCTCCCTCGCACGCGTTGTTCTCGCGCCATCGCTCCCTCTCCCTCGCACGCGTTGTTCTCGCACTATCGCTCCCTCTCCCTCGCACGTGTTGTTCTCACGCCATCGTTCCCTCTCTCTCGCACGCGTTGCCATTCAAAGAAATGCTGCTGTTTATATTATTTATAAACCGAACATGTTCGTACGCAATATTGTTTATCAATCGGGCATGTAATACAATATTGCGATAAAACATCTAACACGCGCCGCTGCCGAAATCCCCTCCGTCCCGCGTGACGTCATTCCCTCGCACCTCCGTAATCCCCCGCGCGCCTCACCCCCCCATGAGAGGACCAGGGTTAGAACCCGCCTTATATCACTACTGATCTAAACTCAAATCATGTAAAATTTTAATAGTCGAACAGACTAAAATATTAAACTTCTCCATTTAATTTTTATTTTAATTCAACATCGAGGTCGCAATTATTCTTATCAATAAGATCTTTTTAAAAATATTACGCTGTTATCCCTAAGGTAATTACTTCTTCCATAAAATTATAAAAATCTTAATCACTACTAAATTTAAATCATAAATTAATGTTTTTTTTCTATTAAAGTTCCTTAAATTTAATAATCCTCCCAATCAAATATAAATCCTAATTTTTACAGGAATATATAACTAAAATTTATATAAAATTCTATAGGGTCCTCTCGTCACATAATTCCATTTTAGCATTCTTACTAAAAATTTAAATTTTTAAAATTTTATTAAAGACAGATTAAATTTCATTCATTCCTTTTTTTCCAGTTCCCAATTAAGAAACAATTGATTATGCTACCTTTGCACAGTCAGTATACTGCGGCTATTTAATTTTATAATCATGGAGCACAATTTATTTTATATAAAACTCATAAAACTATGTTTTTATTAAACAGATAAACTTAAATTTAAATTAATAAACACTTAATTATCAATTTAAACGATTTTGCCTAATTCCTTTAACAAATTTCAAATAATTATTAATAAATTCAATAATTTTAATTTATCCATATAATACTAATTTAATCATTTTTACTTTAAAAATTTAATTATCTTAAATATTTTTCTATTTCATTAAATTTAAATTTTGCAAATTTTAATTAAATAAAATTTATAAATTATTGAATTATTTATAAAAAATTCAAATTTTATGAATATATATACATATATATATATATATATATATATATAATATACATAAAATAATTATTCATATTTATTATATTATTCTTTTTAATTTAAATTTATAGGTTATCCCATAAATTTTTAATATATATCTAATTATTTTATAACTTCTCACTAATCAATTTTTAACTTAATTTTAAAATTTTAAACTCTTTAAAATAGCTAAAAATAAAAAATAATCTTTTTAAAAATTATATTACATATATATATATATATATATATATTAAAATTAAATTTAATCGAAGAAAACTAGATATCAAAAAACTTGATTAAAATATCTTCTCTAAACAATCATTCAAAATAATATTTCCACATTAACTCTTATAATCACTTAACTCTTTTTTTTCGAGATTATTAAAATTTTTAATTTTTATTTGTGTTCGGGATCGCACTTGTAAAATGCGATTTTGTTTTGCCGGGACACACCCGAGAGGGTATCGCGAGTTTGCAAAGAAACGTGATTTCGAACTGGATGAGTGACGGTATGAAATAACGTTAAATTGCTCGTTTGATTAGAACACAGTGACATCCACACAAGAGTGGCGATAAGTTTATTGCTCAGAATTACGATTTGTACAGAATTTATGAGCTTTCGACGCGTGCGACTTTATTTCGTATATTTACGCACATCGAGATTCGTACTCGGTCGGCGAAATCGCACTATACAATTGTTCACTGATGATACGATACAACGCGTGATCAGCTGTTCGCATGAGAGCGAGCGAGACGGCGCTCTATCGGCCGTTCGCGAGAGCGAGCGAGATCGCACAGTTCACGGTTGTACGCAAGAAAAAACAAGAGATAGAGAACGCAGACAGACGATATAGAAAGAAAAGAGACAGCGTTCAATCAGCTGTCTGTATGAGAGCGAGCGGGACCGCACTACACACGGTTCGACGCGAAACTGAGAGAGACAACTCTCTATCGCGCTGTCTGTATGAGAGCGAGCGAGACCGCTGGTTCACGGTTCGACGCGAAACAGAGAGAGACAGCGCTCTATCGGGCTGCCTGTGAGAGCGAGCGAGACCGCACTTTCCACGGCTGCACACGCGAGATAAAGAGAAACAGCGTTACATCAGCTGTCTGCGAGATCGAGCGAGACCGCACTATTCACGGGTGCACGCACGAAACTGAGAGAGACAGCGCTCTATCGGGCTGTCTGTGAGATACTTGATTCAAAATTCGTCGATTAACTATAATCGCGTTTGGCACGTTACACTGTTTCAACGCGCTTGCAAATCTCGGTTCTCGTTGCTCTATAATCCGACAATGACTTTATAAAATTCGTTCGAACTCTCGCAATGACTCGTGATCAGGACTTTACAAAGACTGCTCGGGAGAGAGCCTTTCTCCCAGATAATAAGGATTTGATGGCGCATCGGATGATCCGATTTGAGCCTATTCGGTTTCGGCACGTAGAATCGCGTGATTTTCCGATTGCCTAATTGGCCAGGATCATGTATTCTTCCGCGATCACGCGGATCCTGGCTGATTTCGAAAAAACATCGGGCTGAATTATTTCGTGAGTTCGCTTTGGCCCGCACGGATGGCGCCAGTATTACCGGGGGTGATATTTTCGCTCGAAATTCAGGGCGAATCCTGAACAATTTGATTAACTGTGATACTAAAGTACAATAATTAAAATTTACTTTTTAAAATTTAAATAAACCATCCTTCATATACATAACTTTCTATATAATATAAAATAATTACTTCAAATTAATTACTATAACTTAAATCAATTTTTTATTACTTTAATTAAAATCTAAAATTTTACACAAAAAAAAATTAATTAATCAATATAAAAAAATTTTAATACTATAATTAATATCAATCTATTCAATGTAAACGAATTATTTTACCTTAACCCTTTCATTACGGCAGTCCGCTCCGCTAGAGTCACTGAACGGGGCACCGCGCCGTGAAGTGTGCACATTGCACGTCGGTAGTCTTCGATGTTCGCACTTACGTCTTTTAACGTCACTTTGGGATTCTCTTGTATATACACTATTTTTAGAGCTATGTAACAACTGTTTCGTCATATTGTATGAAAATGATGAAAATAAGTATATTTTATAAGTATTCAGTTATTTACAGATTTTGTGTTATTATAAATAAAAATACAACTTAGGGTAATTAGACATCAAATTATAATTCCTAGTAATTTAATTCAAAATGGTAAATTCTAAAACAAGGATCGACGCAAAGACCTACATTACAATTTTTACATTCGTATCTAGACTCGCGTCTTTTGTCGTTTGCCTTGCAAACGACGCATCTTCTTTCGGTTTTTTCCTACTTTCGTATATAGAGTGAAGGAAAATGTCGTTCTATCAGTCGTAATGGATCATTATGGCCTGTTCGATGATGATAATTAGCATTCTTATATATTTTTCCAATATTTCTCGGATTAATTCCAAGTGAAACTTGGCCATTGATATGGGTTTCTGCATTTTATGTTTATACAAACAATACGCATTCCACACGCATACATCTAGCAAATGAAAAAAAAATTTGCGGTACCATTTTAGAGATTTTCGTGTTGAATTCACAGTGCTTAAATACCATGTCTGCCCTATCAACGGTACCCATAGAACTATTATAATCTACTACGCATCGAGGTTTTTGAACAATTTTTTTTCCGCCATGCCTAAAAACAGTTGCAAATTCTGACGTATGCATGGTAGAGAGCATGTATACTTCCTTTTTGTCCATCCATTTTATAACTAATAAATTTTTGGATGAACGGAAAGATGCCTCTCCTTTCCTTAGTTTATCATCAATTTTTATCATCCTTTTCGCCTTTTTTTTACCGTCCCGCATGCATTTGTATAATTATTATATAATAAATTGAATAAGGCTGGACTTGAATACCAGTTGTCTACAAAAAGGGTATGGCCTTTTCCTAGGTAGGGCTTCATAAGTAATTCTACTATTGCTCCCGATTTTCCAATTGCCTTATTTTCGCTATTGATCATAGTCGATGACCCGGCATAAACAATAATGTCCTGTATATATCCTGTTCGGCAATCACTAAGAATAAATGATTTGATCCCAAATCTACTTCTTTTCGAAGGTATATATTGTTTGAACGATAGCCGCCCTTTGTATAAAAGCAAACTTTCATCAATGCATAACTGTTGATAAGGATAAAATGATTGACTAAATGCTTTTCGAAGCATATCAACGACGTTCCTTATTTTATGTAACCTATCATTGGTAGATGTCAGATCATGGCTGAAATGTAGCATCGCTAACAATTTAAAATATCTGCTCTAGCCATAATTTCTCCGAAAACATCACTACGCAGGAGTTTGTCTACACTTCAGTATTCTACTAAGGATAACTTTTTGTTGCGTGTCATTAGAAATGATACAGCAAAAAAACAGTACAATTCGGGTAGTATCGTTTTTTCTGTATCCTTCATATTATTGTTATTTTTTTTGGACCAATACTCATTTGTTTCATTTACTATGAATTGTACGAATTCTTCTGAGACGAAGAGTTAAAAGAAATCAATGATTTTTGCCGATCTGATAATATTTGGTATAATTCCTGTATGTTCTGGTGTAAATTGATGTATCTTAGGTATGAAAGGACGTTCATGAATCACAGTAGTCTTCATTGTCTTCCTGATCCTTCTCTGCTTCTGAGTCTGAGGTATTGCATATATTCCTTCTTTTTTTGTGTAAGGTGAAATTATTTTCGTTTTCATTCTCGGAATCATTCTCCGAATCAATTAATCCATTTAAAAATAAAATTCTTTTTGAACTCCGCCGTGACATTCTAACAAGGGCGCAAAAAACATTTTATAAAGCAAATTTTTAAGCTTCACAAAAATTTTCAAGTAAATGTTTCTAACCTTCAAATTTGTCTCTAAACTGTAAAATTAGACAATGAACTTTCCAATTTCTCCCGCTCTTTTTCAATTACAACGATTCAAAAGAGATATTGTACTCTAATCGTTGTTTTGTATGTATTTGTAATCGTTGTTTTATAGTACCGTTTTGTACCGCAGGTGGTCGCGCGAGCGGCGATTATAGTCGGCACCCGTACACATAGGTCGTCGCGCGGACGCCGATTATAGTCGACACCCGTACACATAGGTCGTCGCGCGGACGTCGATTATAGTCGGCACCCGTAACGAAAGGGTTAAACTAAAATTTTTATTATCTTATTCTAAGTACACTTTCCAGTACACTTACTTTGTTACGACTTTTCTCATAAACTGAAAATGATGGGCAATTTGTACATATTTAAATTATTAATTCAACTTACAAATTTCTATAAATTTACTTTTAAATCCATTTTCATTCATAAATTTAAATTATTAAAATTCAATTATTTAATTAATTGTAACTCATTAAACTCTTAATTATTCTACATTTTGATTTAAATTATAATTTCAATTAAATTTTTTAACTATTATCTTTTAATATAATTTTACAACAACAATACATAAAATTATTTAAATTAAGTTCTTCCATTCGTGGATTATCAATTTAATAAACAAGTTCCTCTAAATATTAAATACCGCCAAATTTTTTATTTTTAATGTTTTACATTTAATAATTTAATTAAATCTTAATTTAATAAAAATAATAGGGTATCTAATCCTACTTTACTATTAAATTTTTTAAAACTAATTATAATCTTATTAATTTTCAAATTTATACCTATATTTCACTAATAATATAATACTCTTTATTCCCTTGCGGGGTACAGATGCGGACCTCCGCTCCGCTCACATCTTTTCTTATCTAATCTTACATCTACAGCCTTAATCTACGCTCGAGAGAGAAAGAGACGCACTCCATTCATTTCATCCACTCTCTTCTCATTCATTCATCCGGACCTCCGTTTCCGCTGCATTTTCTTTTCTCACTTTCAATCACTCCATCCTCTTCCATACTCCCTTTCCTTCCACCCTCTTCCATCCCTTCCCTCATTTTTTCCAAATCTTTCATCCACCTTTCCCCCTCACCTTCTTCCCCCAGCACCTCATACACCATCTCTTGCCAGCCTCTTTCTATTCCCCAGGCTGTGCACTCCTCCCATATATGATCCCAAGTCTCCTCCCCCCCTTTACAAACCCTGTACTTCCTTCTTTCCTCCCTTTCCCAATATTTACCTTCCCTCATATCATCCCCTAATCTGAACCTTGCTACTCTTTGCCATCTTTCCTCTGACCATCCCTTCCTCAAATATTCCGGAACCCCCTTCCCCTTTACCTTACCATACCATTTATTGAATTCCGATTTCCTTATTTTTTCCCATCTTCCCTCTTCCTGCCACCTCCTCTCCCTCACCACCAAATCCTCCCCTCTCAACTTCCCTTTCTCCCTTAAACTCTCCACCTCCCTCAGCTTCCATCCCTTTTCCGCAAAAAATTCTCTCCTTTCCTCTTCCCACTCTCCCATCACTTTCTCCATCCTTTGCTCTCTTCTTTACTTCTCCCCAACATAACCTGGTTAATTCTCCCCCTCCTCCTTCCTCCAATTTCCCTTCATGTATCTGTCCTGAACCCTCTCTATTTCTACCCTTTCCTTCCATCCCCATATCTCTACCCCATATCCCATAACCGCCCATACTAACTTATCGAACAATCACATTCTTCTTGCCTAATCCTTTCCAAACCTCCTTTTTCCTATCCCCCATATCTCTCTCATCACCACCACCCTTCTTCTCACTCTCTCTTTTATCTGTTCTACCTGTCTCCCGTTTGCTGTCAACGTGTACCCCAAATATCTAAACTTCTTAACCTCCTCTACTTCCCTCCCCTTCCACTTCCAAATCACTTTCTTCCACCTCCCTCCTCCCCTCCTGCATCTCATCACCTTCGTCTTTTCTACATTTACCTCCAATCCCTTCCTCCCCACATAGCTTTCTAGCACCCTTATCATTCCCTTCATCCCTCCCTCCCTTTCCGCTACCACTGCCACATCATCCGCGTATGCGAGAGAAAAAATTTTCCTTCCTCCTACTTTCACCCCTCCCCAACCCCCTTTTTCCAGCTCCTCATCTCTATATCCGCTAACAACAAGGTGAACAAGCACGGACTCAACGGACACCCCTGTCTCACTCCTCTGTCAGTCCGAAATTTCCTCCCTTCTTTCTCTCCCACCCTCACTTTACTCACCGTCTCCCTCAATATCTCTTCACATCTAAATATCTCTCACTACCAGACCCTCTCTCACCCCTCTTTTTCTCATACCCTCCAACAAAATCCCCCTATCCACCGAGTCAAAAGCCGCCTTCATATCTATAAACATCATCACCAATTTTCCTTTCTTCGTTGCTATCTCCCTATTTATTAAATAATTCGCCACATATATCTGGTCAATCGTTCCCATCCCTTTTCTGAAACCTGTTTGACTCGGCGGTAATATCCCTTTCACTTCCACTTCCTCCCTCAGCCTCTCTGCCAGCACTGCCGCATACACCTTGTATGCGGTCTGTGTCAAAGTCACCCCCTCTATACTCCCCCACCTTATCCCCTTCCCCTTCCCTCTTCACAATTGGCACCACTATTCCTTCTCTCCATTCCTCTGGCCATCCTTCTCCCCTCCATACTCTATTACAAATCTCCCACAACCACTCTCTTACCTCTTCCCCTCCATATTTCCACACCTCATTTACTATACCATCCCCTCCCGCCGCCTTTCCTTCCTTCAATTTTCCCAACACCCTTCCTATTTCCTCTCTACTAATCTCCCCTTCCTCCTTATATCTCCTTCCTCTACTCCCTCCTTCCCTTGTTACTCTCCAGTCTACTCCTCCTAATATCTCTTTAAAACATCCTTCCCATTCTTCCATTTTAATCCCTTCTTTTACTCCCCTCCTTCTTTTCCTTTCTCTGTTTACTATCTTCCATATCTGCCCCTCCGTTTTTACCAGCTCAATTTTTTCTCTCCCATCTTTCTCTCTCCTTCCTCTTTTTCTCCTCACATAATTTTCTCCTTCTTTATTACCTTATAATTTTCCCCCTCCCTATTATAATTTTCCCCTTTCCCTCCTCCCCTCCTCCATTTCCTAAGCTCCTCCTTCAATTCCACTTTCATCCTCCTGCACTCCTCATCCCACCATCCCTTCCTCTTCTTCCCTCCCCTTCCCTCCTCCACCTTTTCCAGTGCCACTTCCACTCTCCTCCTTAACCTCTTCCATCCCTCTTCCGCCCCCTCGCATCCCTCATCCTTTTTACCAAAAAATTCCTCAAATTTCCGTCTTCCTTCGTCTGTCCAATTACCCTTTCTTCCTCCTTTCTTTCTACCCTTCCTTATCTCTCCCTTCTTACCGCCCCCTTCCACCCATACCGTAATTGGTTGATGGTCCGAATCCACCCTATCTTCTACCTTCATCTTTTTAACCCTCTCCCTCGTCTCTTCATTCCCCAACACATAGTCTATTACTGTACCCCCCCTTCCTCCTGTGTACGTCCATTCTCCCTCCTCATCCCCTATCACACTCCCATTTAATATTGACCATCCTACCTCCTCTAGAAATCTACACAACCTCCTCCCATCCCCATTGATCTTCCCATCCTTCGACCTTCTCCCTTCTTCTCCTATATTCTCACAGTTTTCGCCTACTCTCCCCCCTCCCTTCCTGTCCTCGCATTAAAATCCCCCCCTTTTAGCACTCTTACCCCTTCCTTTTCGTCCTCCATCCAATTCCTCAATTTTTCCATTTTCTCTTCCAGGTCCCTGTTCACATATACCCCTATTAACCTCCACCACTCTCCTCCCAAACACATTTTCCCAGTCATTATCCCTCCTTCTATTCCCTGACTCTCCTCTCTTTCTACCTCAATTTCTTCTCTTCTTCCCAAAATCATCCCTCCCATAGCTCTCCCCTTTTTATTTCTTTTTTCCGCCTTCCCAAATATAACCTTTTGGAAGCCACCTTCTTACCCTTTCCCATCTTTTCTTCCTTAACCATGTCTCATTCAAAGATATTATGTCCCATTCCCTTAATTTTTCCCAAAAATCTTTATCCTTATTTTCTAAACCAGTCATATTCCAAAAGCCCACTCTGTACATTTTTCTTTTTCCCATTCTTTTTCCCTTTTTTCTGTTTCCTCTGCCCCCTTTTTCCCTCTTCACTTCCCCTCCTTCCTCGTGCCCCCCCTCTAGCAAAAAACCTCCTTTCTCTTTCTCACTCCAACTTCTTCCCCTACCCTCTTCTCTTTTAATCCCACCTGCTTTTTTCTCTTCCTTAACTCATCCTCCAACTCATCCCATATCCACATCTT